GCAGGGCCTGGCAGCAGCTACACCGTGGGCACCATGTCGGAGCGCTTCGACTGCCACTACTGCCGGGACCCCCTGCACGGGAAGAAGTACGTGCAGAAGGAGGGCAGGCACTGCTGCGTCAAGTGCTTCGAGAAGTTCTGTGCCAACACCTGTACCGAGTGCAAGAAGCCCATTGGAGCTGACTCCAAGGTGAGTGCTGATGGCTGATGAGAACAGGCAGATGCTGATGAACTCTCCTGCTCATCTTCCTGGCTCTGGTCTGTTTGTGAGCTACCGTGTGGAAACAAGTTGTGAGTTCTGTGGCTGGTGGGCCGTGTGCTCCTTGGGCAAAGAGCCAGGGACACCGGGATGTGCAGAGGGATCCTCACAGTGAGCTGCTGTGGCACAGGAGCCAGTTTCAGGATCTAGAGTCAGCAACATGGACAGCTGCAAATGCCGAGTTGCCCTCAAGAGAGAACTGCAGGTAACCCAGCCTGCACAGGACCTATAAAAACTACTCTGGGCAAAGCACTGGGGAACCCAGAGTCTGATGTTTATCACTTCGGTTATGGCTGTAATAATGTACACTCGGACTAGAGGGAGTGTGACAACTCGAGAAGCCCACACTTGCAAAACTTCAAATCTTAAAGCTGTTGGTTTGAAGCAACTTCTGCCACCCTCAAAGTCCAAAGTGAATGCCATTGTGCCAGTGAGTCTCATTGACTGCTTGCAGAGGAGCTGCAGCTCCACCCAGAGAATCCAACAGTGCTTAGGAACATGGAATCTATCCTTGACTGCCCAGGCTGACGAGAGCCACGTGCTTGGCTTTAGGGCAGCTCAGTGACAGAGAAAAGCTTATCACTCCCTTTCTGTTTGTTCCAGGAGCTGCATTTCAAGAACCGTTACTGGCACGACAATTGCTTCCGCTGCTTCAAGTGCTACACATCCCTGGTCAACGAGCCCTTCATGCTTCGGGAGAACAACAAGGTCTGGTGCAGCAACTGCACCGCTGTTGAGGATGCACCCAGGTGTAAGGGCTGCTTCAAGCCCATTATTGCAGGTACTACTGCCACTGAGAGGGGTACAAGGGCCACGTTCTGCCCTAAGGCATAACCAAGGGGGTTTATCAAGCTGTGAGGCTGCAGTTATGGGTATCACAGTGGAAGACAGGAGAACCACAAAATAGTGCAAGTCTTGACTGTTGCTCTCACCTGACCATTTTATTCAAGTCCTGAAAGGCATCTTTCCAGTTAACCCTCATGTGGATACTTCACTCTAGTACTTAGTCTTAAAAGCATTTCTACCAAAAGCTTCGCTCTCTGAATCAAGGTATTCACAGGCTCGGGCACCTGGTCTGACAAATATTTTAAAAAAATCTATCAGCCCCTGGCTAAATCAGATACAGAAATTAACAGCCTGTCTCTTGTCTGCATTCCAACTGAATACTGGGTGTAAGTACAGACAGTTCTTGCCTGTAGGTAAGTTACACTGCACAGGGTGAGGGGTTTGCCACAGGCCCAAAATCCCACCTAACAAGTTATTTCTGTCTGTTGCAGGAGACCAAAATGTTGAGTACAAGAAGATGGTCTGGCATAAGGATTGCTTCACCTGCAGCCAGTGCAGGCAAGTGATTGGATCCGGGAGCTTCTTCCCCAAGGGTGATGAATTCTACTGTGTCTCCTGCCACGAGCACAAGTTTGCCAAGACCTGCGCTAAGTGCAAGAACGTAAGTCCTTCCCCTTCACAAAGCGGCTGCCAGAACCGGCTCCTGTGGGTCTTTTGGAAGCTGGGAGAGTAAACCAGAGACAGACCATGCTGTACCAAGGCTTATGTTCTGTCCTTCAGATCCTGGTGCCAGCAGCAGGTGGAATAACAGAGGAGCTGATGGCTCTTGTACATTATGGGATCTGGGAAGGGGCTGACGGGTTATCTGATGGCAACAGTGCAGAAACCAAGTGGGCACCCGTCTTGCACTTGCTTTGGGGTTAGTTTAAGCTCTCTAGTAGGTACTGTGTATTCAGGAAGTGAATGTTTTACAACTTTTGCAACTGGTTAGTGTAGAACTGCAGTTACTGCAGGTAAAAGAAACTATTGTGAAAATGCCAGGTACACAGGATTTTGGGCTAGAGGAACTCAAGTGAGCTGCACAATTTAATTTTGATACAAACTTTTGATGAGTTCCTCTCCATGACAAAGCCTTCCTTCCCTCCACCCCATGTCTGTGTCACCTCTCTTTTTCCCTACTGCTTCCAAACCTCACCTCCGCTCTTTCCCTCCCAGCCCATCACTTCTGGAGGTCTCACCTACCAGGAAAAGCCTTGGCATTCGGAGTGTTTCATCTGCTCCAACTGCAAGAAGCCACTGGGTGGGAAGCGCTTCACAGCTGTGGAGGATGACTTTTACTGTGTTGAATGCTACAAGGAGTGCGTGGCCAAGAAGTGTGCTGGCTGCAAGAATCCTATTACAGGTATGTTGGGTTAAATGCAGCTCGAGGGCACTGGGTGCTTAAGGTCAGAGCAGTGATCCCCAAAAGCCATGGAGCCCAGAGGCAAATACATCAGAGCAGGTCTAGTAACCCAAGCTCAACTCCAGCAATTTACAAGTGATCTGACTCCAAGACACGTGTTCTTGCTGGATGGAGTTCGAGCCAGTAACTGAGCTCTTCACCCTTTGCATGCCTCAAATTTACCTCCTTCAAAACTCCCCCAGCTACAACTGTTCCCACCTGTATCTTAGTTTGGGACCCTTAAGTCCAAAATGTTTTACTGTCCCAAAGTGACATTTGCTTCACTTCTGACGTATTTTACACTTAACAGTTAACTGGGTTACAGAGCTCAGCCCTGAACGTGGGCACTGTCCTGCCAGTCCCATGAGACTCATATTCCATTCTGCATTTTAGAGCCAGGATCTGAGACCGTAATTCCTGTCCTTGCTCTACATCTTTCCTTAAACTTGACTGTTTCTTGGAGAAAGGATTCAAAGGAAAATGCTTATGGCAGAGACAAGCCATGCAAGCCTTATGCTAAGCTACCTGTTTCTTCAAGAAACATCAAAAGATGCATCAAAAACCATGCTTCATTTACCACTTAAACTAGTATTTTAGGCACACACTGTGGCCTGCAAGCCTAGAGATGCACAGGAGGGAGTAAGAAGGGGATCTGCTGCTTGGTGGGCTGACCTAGTCAAGGCAAAGCTACTATCGCCGTCCTATAATTGTGTTCTCTCCTAGCAGGATTTGGAAGAGGAACCAGTGTGGTTAACTACGAGGATGAGTCCTGGCACGATTATTGTTTCAAGTGCACAAAGTGTGCCCGTGGTCTGGCCAACAAGCGCTTTGTTTGCCATAATGGAAAAATTTACTGTGCTGAGTGTCCCAAACGACTGTAATGAGCAGACAGCAAGTGCTGTAAGATGGATTTTAAAGCCCTGCTTTCCCAAACAGTCCTGGTAAAGGAGCAGGTTTTTGCATGTTGAGAATTCGATCTGTTTCCATTTTAGTATAAGAACTAAATTAGCCTCAATATACTGGGTTTGACTTTTGAAGCTCCTGCAGTACAAGAGCATGTAGCCCTGCAAAAATCTAACCTCGTTTCCAAGTAACTCTTAGTGTAAAGGCTTGAAATGCTGTTGTTAGATTTAGCATTAGAGATCCACACACTGCATCATCCGTGTGTGGCTTAACTAAAACAAATCTAGTTTTAAACTTGTCTGGTATATGTTTAAGCTTGGCACTTAACTGAAGTGGGTTTGACAAGGCATGAACTTGGGATACAGAGATTGCACCTGGGATCAGAGGGATTCATTATTATGCTTTTACAAGTACAGGTACACAACATACACCACACCATTAATAAATAATCAATAAATACCTTAGCTTACCCTACCACACCAAACTGCAGCACATGTATGGAATGGCTTCATCTTATATATAACAATGTTTTGGCAGTGCAATTTAGCTTAGTTAAGGTTCCATAAACTTGTTTTAGTCTTGATTTCCGCATGGTTTGTCCAAAAGTTTTGCTCATCAGCTTTTTTTATATCATTGTTTAAACAAGGCTGTCTGTGTACAATTATTAATCCATTAACAAGTAGTAAATCTTTCACCTACGACATGCACATGCATTTCCAAGTGCCTTAAAAATAGCTCAGACAATGATAGCTCTCCTATCCTGTCAGTGTATGTTTTGTGATTGAATAAAAGTGAGACTAGTGCCTGCCTGGAAAATTTTTTTTTTTCTTTTTCATTTTGCCATCTTACATGATTGACACATCTTAAGGCTGAGCTACTGAAACCCAGTCCCATACAGTGATACTGGCAAAGTAAAGAGTCAGCTGTGCTGTCACTGCACCCTTAAATATCTGAGGACTAAAGCAACAATTTCCATAAACTAATTAATTTTTTTAATATATTACTGACACCAGACCATCTGCCAGGAACAGCCTGTGTGAAAAAGCCCTTCGGAGAACATATGTACAGCCACTGATTGTGCACAGATCTACAGCCCTTCAGCAACCTTAACGCTGGTTTAAGGTTGGGGCTTTTTTTCCACAGTTTTCTGAAACACAGAAATACTTTATCAACTGGATGCTTCTCCAGCCATTCCTTTTCACCTACCAACAAAGAACCCTTGCAAGAAAAAGAAAAGGCAGCATCTTGCTGCGTTCTTGCTGGGCACTGCCCCGCTGTGGCCACAGAGCAGTGCTGGACTCAGCTTTAGAACACAGAGATGATGGTGCTGCAAGTGAAAAGCAAAGGCTGACAGGGAAAAAAGCAGGTTAAGGAATTCAAGAGTTACAAACACACTGTCATACATACGAACATGTACAAACACAGCAAGAGCTGAAGGTGTTAGTGCAAATACCCTCCCACCTACACAGATGCAACTGCCAAGGAGGTCTCTAGTTTGGGAATGTGCAGTTGGGAGTAGTTAGAGCAGCACCAGGGTGCATCTCAAGGCAGGTCAGCTGGGCAAGGGCTTGGAGAGGCCTAGTAAGGTCATGTTTAGCATTACAAAATAAAGCATTGTTCAACTGCAAAGTTTATTTAACAGTGCACTCGTATTTACACAGAGCTGTATCAGACCATTCAACAAATATCAGCACAGAAGAAAATACTGGCATCTTTGTTAGAATGATTGTCTCTGCCAGAACAAAACAGCTATCATACAAAAATACAGTTTTCCATTTCCCTAAGGCACTGCTCTAAAAGTCTAAAACAGTTCTATGGCATTTCTGAACAGCAAGAGGGAGAGGGCTGAGGGCTTCTTTCGCAACTGTGGTGTTGAGGAAAGAACAGGTGTAGTTCCAGCAAATCCATTTGCATTTACCCACTGCAAACACAGCTACCATTTGGATGAATCACTGGAATTGGGAGGATCAGCCAGTGGCTTGTAGCAGGATTTGAGACAGCCCTTCTTTAAAGTAACCACCTATCCAGTCTATCTTTACAGGAGACATCAGAACAAGGCTGCATTATTACTTTTAGTAGCAATTTTCAGAAGATGCTTCATTAATCTCTTCATGCTGTAAAAAGCAGGCAAGTTCAGGTTAAATAGATTATTTAATGCAGGCTTTAGGGGAGGGGATATATGCAACTTGCAGCCATTGTTACAAAGCTGGAACTGCTACACTTACTTAAAATAATTAACATGAACAAAACATGACTTCAACGGTCTAATACTGTTATGTACACAATAAAATAATACTTCCATAAGTGTAGATAAATAAGTAAATCAAAAGGAAAACATTTTTTAAAAGCAAGACACATTAAACTGCACCAACAGACATATCTAGGGACTTGACATTTTTGCAATATATTAGTGCACATGCTGTAAAATGTTTTGATGTTTGCCAATAGATTAAAACATATTAGTGATGGTACAATACCGGATTTTGAAACTGTCAAAATTTTCACATTAGATAAGGAATTTTTCTTCTCCAAAACTGAAGATATTCAATTCTGCATTTTTAAATAGCACATGAACTAACAAGCAACAACATTTTTCTAGACATTACAAAGGGAGTTCAGCTTTAACACACACTGAATGAGTTTTATTTCATCAAGGGCCATTTTAGAAATCTGCAACATTTGCAGCTAAGTGAGGAGCCTCCAGTAGCCTGCTGCTGTACATGATACTGATATGGAAATAAAAAAACCAAAAGACTCAAACAGGTTACTGTAAAGTCTGTAAAAGGGAAACAAGGGATATTTGAACTTGGAAACCTTATCTAACAATTAGCTAAATGAATGGAAAAAAGAACATTAGCACAACAGTTTCCCTGAAATGTTTCAAGGTGCAAATTAGAACTTTGTCATCCCTCCCCTGGTGTTTTTTGCAAAGTTGAAGATGGATAAAGGTAAACAAGCAGCTTTTCAAAACAAGGCCTTCGGTACTTGAGAAAGCACTGGATTACTGAAGTGCAACCAGATTATTTCCAGGTCTCTAGTGTTCACAGTTCTGTCCAAAGAGCAAAGAGAAGAAAACATTTAACCATCATAACTGTGTGTATGCCACATGCATCCATCATCACTGTCAGAGTCTACATCCAGGAGTGAGCAGAGAATCACTTAGACACTTATGGTCCAAAACCAGCACAGTAGGGTTTTCTTTCTTTTTACAGGAGTATTAGTTTTCAAAGTTATGTACAGAATTCTTAAACCCTATTAAGTCGAAACATTTTCAAGTTCAAAATTAGAAGGCAACACTTTCTTTGCTAAAAAATTAATGATTTTGCTCACAACAAAATGTGATCAGCAGAATAACATTAAATCTGTCTATTCCCCATGGCCCAGTTAGTCTTGGCCTTGAGGGAAGCCTCGATCAGGTTGTGCCCACAGGACTAAAATTCACAAGACGAAGAGTGACAGAGGAGACTCGGGAAACAGTTCAGTCTAGAAAAGTGCTACACTTTAATCAAAACAAAGTGCTACACATCACTGAAAGAAAATGTGGATAGCAAGGCTCATCTCTTCCACTACCCCTCATTTCACTGATCACACAGTCATTTATCTCATGGAAAGAGATCTCCTGCTGTGAATATGGCCACTTGGGGTTCAGCTCCAACACCAGGGAAGTCTGGTCTATGATGTTACATAAACTGCCTTCCTGCATGAAGGTTTGGCTTCTCAAGTACATGTGGCTTGAGATGCAGCCCTGCTTCTTTCAGAAAATTCAGAGAATTTTGTGTGTGTACAGCTTTATTACTCCTCTCAAAATGTAACACAACTGTCTGTGGAATTTCAGGTTGGTGCTACCTGCTTCAGTGAGGTGAAACACTATTCTACAGCTAATACCTTGCTAGAGTCTGAGGACACCCTGTAAGACCACGCAGGTCAGCATCAAAAAGTTACAGAACATGCCTAGGAGGGCAAAGGTCTTGTCTGTAGAGTTACATCAGACACCTTTTAAACTGTTAGTATCTTCAAAAGTAACATGTGCCATTTAAGATATCTCAGAAGAAACTTAAAGTAGAACAAATGAGCTTCAGTGCTGGTAGGAGATACTGGAGCTTCACAAGGGCTCAGCTGTGTCTTTGGAAGAGCCTTAATGTTGGGCCTTAGCAAGTCCCTAAAAAGGCATTGATTGGTGACTCCTTTTGACAGAATTCAAGTTACAAGCACTAAATAAAGAGCTTTCCCTCTGGTCTACACATTGGAGAAAGTGCCTTGAAAATAAGAAGCTGTAGTTAAGGCAAAGAGAGCAAAATGCAAGGAAGTTAATTGCCTAGGCAGAGGAAGAGACAGACAGGGAAGTCAGCTTGGATTACCTGATGAAGCATCTATAGGTTTGGTCAATGAATTCACTGCACCATCTTCCTCAAAAGCCAGTTTGGGACTAGGAGGTATTGTAGCAGCATCATTCAAGTTTTGATTACAGTTACCAGCAGAGATGCTGTCTGAGCTCAATTTAGTTGACTTGGAATGTACTCCAACATCAATGAACTCCTCAAAAGTCCATGAACCAGATTTTCCATTAAGATTCTGAATAAGTCCAATTGTATGATCAGCTTCATTAACTCCCAACTTCACTGAGTCATCAATGACCATTTCTTTCACAGGATGGCTAGAAAAAAAAAAAAAGGCATTTGTATTACAATTTCTGCATGTTTAACCTTTAGACTGATTTCAGGTCAAACAATTAGCAGACTGAAAACTCTGCAAAGCACTTAATGTCCTGAAGGGCATTTCCAGACAAGCTCCTCCAGCTGCCACACAGGAACTCCCCTCCAAAAGCCAAAGGGGAAGAACAACTCACCAATACATATCAATTTTTTACTGAATTAACAGCTCTCAGTTAAGGTCTGGTTCTGGAAATTTGATATAAGAAAGCAACAAGTTTAAGGCCCTGAACCATTAATTCCCAATTTTAGTAGCGTGCATTTCTCCTTTTTTTCTCCAGCTGTGACTTTTTAGGCACAAAACTAAGCTTCAGAAGACCAGAAATATTTAAAAGATTCAAAATCTAAACCCAAATAATTGATTAATTTTCATTCATTCTTTGGAGAATCATGAAAATGTCTTTATATTCCATCACTGGAGGAACGGGATTAATTTATCATCACTTTAAAAAAGCATTCACAATGTCATTTCTAAATCATTAGCATTTAGATGAGCAAATGGAACAAGCATCAGAGGACAGATTTTCCAGTAGTTGACAGAAATGCTTTATGTTCAAAAAGATAAAATCTGAACTACCACAGAAACCATTCCCCACCAAGGGAGGCTTTTGTGTTGTATCTGGTGTTTCAGCATAACGTTGTTCTAGAGCTTTCTTGGAGGTTATTCTTCCTTTTTGGTGTTATCTCCCCTCCCTCTTGCTGAATGTTTTGTTAATGAGAAGAACCACAAGCCATGTCAAGGGAGAAGATTTCAAGCCAATGCCACTCTTTACAAGTAACAAACACTGCCATGTTGCTCATGGCTGTGTCTCACTTCTCAGCAAAGCCAGCACTGTTAACGTGGTGCCATCTAAACAAACAATTATCCTGTTCTGTGCGAGGCACTGAACTGACAGCAGACACCCCACGTGCCTGGAGCAAGGCACAGAGGCACCACAAAGCCAGCGAGGTGTAAGATTTGAGGCAAAGCTACAGACAGCATTAAATTTATTTTAAATGTAGAGAGAGATTTCTCACCTGGAATCCTTCAGTTCAGTAACAGACAGAGACCCCTCATCACTTTTCAAGTCGCTTCCATTCATGAACACTTCACTGGCCTTCAACTCTGACTCATCTTGTTCCTCAGATCCTGCAGAGATCAAGCTTTGTGCAGTCTCTAATCGACCCTCTGCCTCCCCCTTGACTTCCTGGAGCAAGTCAATGCCATTTAACTTTCCTGAAAATGAGGGAAAAATAAGGAATAAATTTAAAAGGAAAGCTTCAGTAACAGAATGGTTAGAATACAAGTGTCAAAATGACCTTTCCTAGCTAAAACTCAGGGAACTGGGCTTCAATAGGTTCAATATGTTATAGATAAGCTGCCTATAACAACATGAAATTAATTTTTCATCTTTAAAAATCCACTTGTAAAATGAAAGTTGCCTCCATTTCATTCTCAAATCATTTTGGCTCTCTCTCTGTCCAAGCAGAGAGTCTCCCTGGCATTTCTGGGACTGGTGTCTCAGACCACCACAATGCTGTTACACGAGTGACCTTTTCAACAAAGCTTAAACATCACTGAGAGACTCACTGCTACTCAGACCTGACTCATCCAGTTTCCTTACCTGGTTGATCAGTCTTCTCAAGACCCAACTCTTCCTCCTCTTCAATATCCTCTCCCTCCATCACCTCTGAGGCAGATTTCCCTTCATTCTGCAACTGAATTGGCAGGGTGTTACTTGGAATAGCTCCCGACCCTCCAGCATTTCACAAACGGCTCAATCACAGTTCCCACACAGGATGATTCTGTGCCCAGCAGTGAGGCCACACGAGTCCAAAGGCTCACAGACAACAAGCTCACCCACCAACATATGTTCTGCTGAGTTCCTTTTCCCCTCATTTCTCCAAGGTGTTTGCTAAATTTTTATTATTTTCAGCTCTATGAAGACTTAGATCTTTGAATGTTCAGACAGGAACAACTATTCCTCAATAAGCACAACTGACCACAAACCTCACTGCATTAACAAAAATACATCCAGCAATCCAAGGGACATCCCAGATTTGCTTTAGGCAAACAGATGATGCCAGGAATGTAAATTTTCTAGGGAAAAACAACGCTGGCAGAATGCATACAATTAAAAAAAAAAAAAGCCCTACTAATCAGTGGGTTTTTTTTTAAACCCATCTGCAAGTGATAATAACAGATCACATTGTAGGTCTTGAACAAAAATATGTCTAAGACTTTTGGTCAGAACAAGCAAAGCAGAAGAATGTGTGCAATGGGAAGCTACTGGAAATTATTCTGGTGCACCAGAACTTTGTACTTCCCATGGAAGTCAGTTTGTGCAAGGATAACACGACGCAAGGCAAAGCCTTCTCCAGGAAGGGCCCATTCTGTTATTATACAGAAAAGTACCTTGGATTCGTTTTGATCCGATTTTCGTGTTCTTTTCATTATTTCTTCAATTCTCTGTTAAAACAAGGAAAATATTTGCAGAGCTTTATATTTCAGCATTCTGGTTTAAATTTTTAATAATATTTTCATATTTCATTAATTTAACACTTTATTCATTGTTTTTAAAGCCCAGAAGTCAGAGTTTGATTTAAAAAAACCAAAAACACACTACTTCTATTTGAATGCATCAGAAACTGTCTGTTCAGTTTAAAACCCCAACCACTATTTTAGGCCGAGAATTCAAAACAGTCTACCTTCTTTCTTTCAAGCCTTTCCTGCATATTTTGCTGCATAATTCTCTCTCTTTCCAGTCTCTGTCTTTCAGCCTCTTCTTGAGCTTTTGCTTCAGCTTCTTCTCTCTGAAAACAAAACAAAAAGAAGAGAGCACCCAGTGCACAGCTCATTCCCAAGAGTCAGAAGCAGAACTGTTAAAGAGATTCTGGTTCAACACAGACAGGCACATCAGAAAATCACTACTTAATATGACCACACACTGTAGCCAAATGTCATTACCCAGCTAGTGACATGAAATATATACCACTATGACATTCAGAAAATGAACCTCAACTATATTGATATAATGCAAATTTTCTGAATGTTGTTGAGCTACTCAGGGCTCACACTATTTTTCAGGATGAACATTTGTCTAAGAAGGATAATTTATAAAGTAACAAGACAGCAATTAAATTCTAAATGTGTAAAGGTTAACTTAAAAATCTTGGCAGTCAGGTATTGCTACCAAGACACTTGGTGCAGAACATCTTCTGTTTCTTTTACACTGTAAAATCTTTTCCAGTATGACTGGAAGATAGAAACACAGTTAACACTCTGAATAATTGTCATAAACAAGTTAATAAAGAAATGTTCAGACACATTGCAATACTATCCATAAGATACAGCTCTTTAAACACAAAGAATTTAATTGTAAGACTGCCTTAGTTTTCAGAATTAACCTAATTTAAGGAAAGTCCACTTTGTGCAGAACAGCTCCCTTCAGTTCAAAGGAGGCCTTTGTAAGGTACATGGATACTTGCTGTGGAAGACTATTTAGCAACAGGAAAAGCAGACTTGGAAACACTACCAATCTTTCTCCTAAAGGAACCAGAGCAAGCCAGATGACTTTCCAGACAGACCACCTCCTCAACCCATGGCAGTAAGCTGGTAAAGTGGGCTCAGTACAGATATTTTACATATGCAAAATAGCCTCCCTGATGGCTAAAAAAATTCCAGAATAGCTGCTTCTGCCCACTCTTGAATTTACCAAATGTTGGGGGGAAAAAAAATTTAAAAAACCCACACAGACCAGCGGAAAGAAAGGACCTGCAGACATTCTAAATCCATCTCAGCCAGGATGAACTCTGCTTTACGTCATTCCTGACAGAGACCTGTCAAAACTGCTATGTGAAAGAAACAAAAGCAGCCCTCTGCAAAACACGGCAGCAGCTTGTCCCAGGAACACAGTTGGGGCCTACAGACCTGGTGCTGAAGCTCTGCGAGCTTTTCCTGCTCTTCCTGTTCCCGGCGGATCCTCTCCTCCTCAGCCTGCCTTTGCTGTTCTTCATACAACAGCCTCTTCTCTTCCTCCTCCTTCCGGAGCTCCTCTTCCCGTCGTGCTTTTTCCTCAGTTGCTCTCCTGGCCATCTCTTCCTCTCTGATTCTGGTGTTTCCAAGACACAGGTTACTGACTGGGTATTTATTTCTTTAAAAGAGCGCATGCACGAGACAGAGTAGGAAAGCAAGGAAGTTCTAAATAACCCAGTCACAAAATTACTGCATAAAGACACTTTCTGGTGGGGATTTACCACTGTCCACACTAGTCAAAGGAAAAATCAGTGTAACTTGGAAGAAACTATTTGTGAGTGTGTGTTCTTTGCCGATTAAGTCAAGGCCAAGGCAGGTTGTTCCAATAATGGAATATTTGATTGAGAATGGGATTAAGCAACAACCCCTTAATAAATACCATCTGCGACCATAACATGAATGAAGATTTTAATTCACTGTCAAACATAAATTTAGTGGGATTTCCTAAAAACTCTTTCGTCTATAGCCTGAATTCCAGACGTACACTGGAGGTATACACTGCCAGCTCATGCAGACATACAAAGCAGATCCGATGACATATTTCTGATAAAACACCTAAACCAGTTTATATTCAAGTTTCTGACAGCTTTATATCTGTGATCAGAAAACAGATAAAATCTGATGTTCCACCATGTTCACAGAAGCACAGGCAGGTGACCCCTGATCTGGAATAAAGTTATTCAGCACTAACTTAGCAATTTATTTTTTAAAAATTCTGTGCGGTGAACCAAATGCACGCTAATTTAACACTTTGAATTACTTGCCTGTCACATTACTGATTTAGATTTCAGATCAATAACATGAGATTTAATGTACCATCAAATCACTGCCTGATCTCATCAAAGGAAAAATTTAATACAGAGAGGTTTGACTATTTCAAACCAAATACAAACAACCCAAATGTAAGTGATGTAAAAAGCACATTCTGGTTTTGAATTAAAAGCCCCACTGGTGACTGTAAGGAAAAAGAAGCAGTGATTTCACAACGACTATGCATTATATATATACTGAGATATAAACTGAAGTTACACACAGCAACCTGTCCCATCTCAAAGGTGCTAGTGCCTCCTTGCTTCAGGAGCTGCATCAGGATTTGCAGGAACCTAAATTAGGAGTTGGAAAACATACACAGCTGGAATGTCCATTCCAACCATACCCCACTACAGAAAGCACCCCTTCCTTCTCTCAACTGTTACCTTTCTTCTTCTTGCCTCTGAATTCTTTCTTGGCCTTCACGCTCTCTTTGCTCCCGTGCCAGACGTCGCTTCTCTGCCAAGATTTTAGCAGCTTCTTCAGCTGTGGTGGTCCCTGCTACTGTTTTGCTACCTGATTCTGCAAAGGTCAAAAGAAACTGCTGTTAAAAAGCCCCAGTAATTTAGAATTAAGAAAGACCACTGTGAGATGAGATCTTTCTCATGCCATCTGATCCACTATCTGTTCGATCAGTGCCCATCAGTCAGTGAGTGCACCCTTATCTGACAGAGCCAAAGAGGAGCCCTCAGGAGATGCAGAGCCACAATATCTCACTGACACTGAAGCAGTAACAACTCATTTCAATGCTGATCCAGCCATAATTCAAATGATACACTTAAAGATACTCTCCAATTATCATAGCACTTAAATACATGTTTCTGAAAAGACATGTTTTCAGAATATATAACTCTTTAACACTGAAAAGAAAACTGGAAACAAATACTACTTTAGGAAATATACTTCCCATTCTTCTAATAAAACTGAATGCACATGACCCTAAAAAGGAAACACTAATTTCTGTATTTTTCATTTTTCAAAAAATTAACATTCATGCCTATATGTAGGAGTACCTTAGAGTGCAAATAATCACCATTTTATCTGGCCCTGAAGGCACATACTAATGACTTCAGTAATTCTGTATTTCTACACATTAGCAACAAATCAATTTCCAATTTACATGGAGATCAAAACAGCTTCAACCACCAGGCTAGTAAATATTTGCACAGTCCTGCAGTTTATGTTTCTTCATGTCCTGCCTGGTGTTATGGTGTCTGAACATCAGTCTGAACTATTATAAATTAACATCAGAAAAAACACCCAGAATCATGATGCCATCCAGCTATTTACAGAACTCTGATTTTTATCAGTTATTACTCTGTAGAAATATTTAGGACTTCATCATCTGACTATTCAGAGAATTAGCTCTTGATGTCAGTAGAGCAGTAAGTTCATAATGTTCGTGAGGACCTGCCTTTCTTCTTTTTAATATTTTACAAACCAGCACATGTTTGCTTAACATAAGCCTTCAAGTCAAGGTAATTTTAATGAACAATGACATCAGGGTTTGACCAGCTATTTTGCTTCTGACCTAAAGACAAATCACTCAAAACACGATGTCATCATTAGGAACTTTAATACCTGAAAAGCTGCTTAAGCCCCATGGACACGTAATCACTACCTGCAACTGCAGGGCATAATTACACAGAGCAAACCCTCAGCAGCTGAATCATGGCTGTGCTTTGTGCATAAAAATCGGTTCTTGCAGTCCTAGGTAAAGCATTTCAGCACTGATGGAGTGCAGGCACAGAGAGTTTTCTAATATTTAAATTTATTCAATGCTGAAAAAATATCACTTCCCCAGAATACACACTGCTTCTAATTTGGTAAAAAACCGCAGTAATGTTGGTACAAACAAAAATCAGCCACGACCGAAATCTGAACACGGTCAAAAGGGTCCTCCTCCTCCTCCTGAGTAAGAAAGACCACTCCCCTGCAGTTATAAAAAGCAATGGCTGATCTTCCTATTCAAGACATGCAAGTGTTTTTCTTCCTATATTCTGTAACTTTACTTTCTACCTAAAGAAGAGGAGGGAGAACAATGAATAAATCAAAATGTCTCTCTTTTCCTCTGCCATATCAGTGCCTTGCCAGTTCAGACTAACCACTTTTTACAGCAGATGCCGTTTTTTGTTGTGAACTTGCACAGCAACCAACACAGCAATCCTGTTTTAACACCTCTGGAATCTCTCTCAATTGTATCAAATCTGGCTGATATTTAATGTGAGGTTTAACCTATTTTCCCTCCTCAAAACTGCACCTAAATAAGAAAATCAAATGCTCAGCAAGAAACCTAAAGGTTTTAGACTTTTAGGTTCTAGGGTTACAACATGATAATGACAGCTTGAAGTATGATGAATATCTGGTATTGACAGATCAGTCACAACAGTTCAGAACACTGTGGATACGGAAAGGACAGGGGGAAAACAACCAAAAGAAAGGGCTGGAGAACTCAAGCCTATGGGGGACCTTCCTATTACATTTTCACTTCTGAAGCTTTACTGATGCTTTCCACATGGTTATTTCAGTACTGTTTTCATCTCCATGCACCCCTTGTACAGTCTGTTCCCACAGGGCAGGACATGAAATTTCCCAACACGGTTGATAACAGGCCATAAGAAGATTATTCCAGTGTTTCATACTCAGCTTCTTTTTCCTTGTACTCCCAGTCATTCCTGGTAAGAACTGTCTTTTTCAAAGAGGACCTTTTTGTGATGAAAAGGGAAGGAGGGAAATATGCAAGAGAACCATCTCAGAACACTCGCAAAGCGTACTATTAGTTGGATGGAGGGAGAGTTCCAACACATTTCAAGGCAAGTCATTTATTCACAATCTAGGAATCATATTCCAAAGCCTTCAATACCCAGATACAAAAAGTGGGGCTCCATGATAGTTTATTACCTATCATCATGCATAAGGTGAGAGCTCATGAAGGAGCACTTCTTATGCTTAAAGTTGAACAAGCCTTTTAATTCTCAGAGAAGCTGCGAAAGGCTGCTGCCAGAAATGACAACTGCTCCAAGTCACTGAAAAATAAAAAGTGTTTTACTGTGGAACAGTGTATTTTAGTAGAAAGACACAAAGAAACGAGACAAAAACTGACAAAAACTTGATTGCTGTCAGCAACAGGCAAACAAGTTCAGTTGGAAGGAGAAGAGATGGGATGAAGATACAAGTGCACAAAGCTGAAACTAGGCTGAACCTACAGGACCTGGAGACTGATTTACCACATGCCATTCACTGGTGGGCTCTGACTTCAGAAGCTGTCGGGGATATGGAATTGCACCAATCCACAAGGTGAACTGCTGACACAGAAGTGTTAAAAGGAAAACTGCCTTGAAAATTGAAAGTAACTTTTTAAGAAAAAAGATTTTGCCTCACTTAGCAATATTGCAGTGTACCAAAACATTCAAAGAGATACATGAAACCATCTCTATGTTGAAGAACATGCCCACTATTTCCTTTTCTACGTGTCAAAGAGCTTCGACCAGCCCCAGTGTGAGTCACTACAAAGACGGTTAGAGCTTCGAGATTTGCAATAAACTAAAATGGAAACGGATAAACTGGGCTAATACAGTTTCAGAAGTCAGTGTAGAGAGGAGACAGGTGGAGCATCCAAGAAACAAGGATGGGTGTTCTTGTTCCAGAATAACTGGAAGACGCAGGAGTAGGACACATTGTTATGGCGGTTTCAACCAACTGATGACACGAGTGATTCTGCCCCCTCCGAGGCGTGCAAGACACTTATCAGAGTAATGCAGAACATCAAGGGATGGACATTCTGACTGCAAAGACAAAGGATGTGACACTGAAGATGGATGTGCAACTTCACAGGAACATCCACCTCTGACTGACATCCAGGCTTCCTTCCACAGGAACACATGCTCAGCGTACCATGAGCTGACTGACACTGCTGCACATCCACCCCTGGGCAGTGTCAGGAAGAGCCTCAGCAATGACAAAGAACTGCAGTAGCCAAGGAATGCACACAGGAACCACACATGCAGCAACGTGCAGCAAGCACATGTTCCCACTTACCTGGTGTCTGAAGGATTCACCCCCGGTATTGCCACTGGCTGTAACTTAAATTCCAGAGATCCCTCTTTTTCCTGTCAAGTGGCCCCTAAGTCCTTCTCCACAGAGAACTGCCTGCCAGACCTCATCAGAAGGCTCTCCCAAATTCTGTTCTGGAGATGGCAGCTGGCATTTTTTCTGCTAAGAGGGACAGGGGCTGTGCTCACTTGGCCCAGTGAAGAGGGCCAGGACACTAACTGCTTTTCTCGTATATGGCCCTCCTTAACCTACCAGGCTAATTTCTCAGTGTGACCTGTGAACTGATCACTTTTCCTGAGGCAACAACGATTATACATTCACTGGAACTGAGGCCGAGACAGTCTCCAAGCATTGTGAAAAACGTCTCTCAGCCTGTGATGCACCAGGAGTTGATTTCTTCCTCCAAGAAGGTCTCCACAGGAGCATTTTAAGAACTACCAACTGGACTGAAAGACCTCTGTGTAGTTTAACTACTGATTTTATAAACCTAAGCTAGTAGATCCCTCAGCTAGTGCAGCTGAAGCCCAAAAGGCAAACAGAATTTCTGCTTTTCTTAAAATTACAGTACAAGCAGTAATACTGAAAGCTCCTGACTTTAATCTCCAAGTCCAATAAACCAACTACTGCACTAAAATCCACAGCCTAAAGTGATACCATGTAAAATTATGGTACACTCAGCAATGAACAGCTTCTGCCTTTAAGCATCCTACTCTCTAGTGCTCTGCCTCACAAACCAGTTGTTTCATCAGTCCTAGCACATACTGGAGAGGCCTCTGATGAGTCAGACACTGAGAAACACCCACCTTCTTTGGTCTTTGTGCTAGCTGCTCCCACATCCCTGTCCAAGGCTGGGGAAGCACCTTGCTCTTGTCCTGTTCCTTCTGTGCTCTTATCCTTTGGTTTGCTCTCTGCTTCAGTCTTCTTTTTGGTAATGTTTATAACACCTGGTGTGAGAGGTGGACGCTGGATGGGTGCTGGTTTAGAGACTGGAGTAGGAGATGGTGGCCTTTGTTTTGACACACCAGGTGAAGGCGGACGAGTCTTCTGTCTGTTCAAATAAAGAGTATTTTCAGGGTTAACAATAAAAACTCCAAACAAATGTCTGAGGACAGCAATCTCCTTTGTTTAGTTTACATTACATACCTCACTTTTTAAAACAAATCCACCTACAAACTATGGCTGCCTTCCTCATAAAACTTAAATACAGCATTTCAGAACACCCTGAGCACCCAGACTCCCTACTTCTGGGCTAAGCATCAAAACAGGTTCGCTAGCCCAGACCTCTGTTTACTCCACACCAAGGATGAACCCTGTGATTCCAATCCAAGAAACTTCCTACAGTAATACAGGCAGATTAGTTTATTCAAAAGCTTGCAGGCTTCCCTGCTGGTTTTGATGCACAGACTGTACAGAAAAACAGCGTGTATTTTTGTCTGCACAGCAGAGACAAAGGTTGAAGTAAGAGCTGCATTTCTACAGTGGGAAAGTAGAAACTGGACCCAAAATTAAGTTCTTTTCTGTACAAACACGGCATAGTGTAGATCATCAAAATTCTAACAGCACAGCTGTCTTGAGACAGGAAGCATCCTTCATTTTGTTCTGAATGAAAGGAAGTGTTTAACCTGGACACGTACCGAACTGCAGAAGGTGACGGAGGACGCTTCACCAAATTAGCAGGAGAGGGGGATCTTCTATGGGCAGACACAGATGGTGAGGGAGGGCGCCTTAAACCAGGCCCTGGGGATGATGGTTTTTCTGTCTCTGATTTCTAGAGGATACATAAAACCAAAATACTGCTGACTCTCTAGAATATCTTACAGTCAGAGGAGCTGCTATTCCAACAAATATACAACTTCTCAACAAGATGCACTTCACATTTCCTTCATGTTCCAAAACACAGACCTTGTCTTGTGTTTAATATCTACATACATTAAACTTTGGGAATCATAAACAGCAAACAATATGCCTTTAAGACACAAGAGAGATCAAGGACCATAAAATTTCAGTTTGATTTTAATACTGTGCCTTTTTTAAGCAAATGCTATTTAACGTTTCAATAATGCTTACTGAAAGCTGCAGCAACCCTGATGAAACCTGATCCCACCCTGAGCTGTTCCAGCCCCCCTCAATTAACAGAAACCTGGCTGCTGTGGATTTTCAACAAACCTGGGTTGAATCCGGTGAACTTGCATCAGATGAAGATAGAGAAGACTTCAACCTGTCGATGCTACGACTGCGCACGGGCACTTTGGGAGCTGGGACTGAGGAACTGATGGAAGTGGCTGAAGCTGAACGAGGACAGAGGTGAGATTCTATAAAAGTTAGGAATTTGACAAGACAAAACGAGAACCAAGTGCACAGTATAGGAACAGGAGAAAAGGAAGAGGGAGAAAAAGAGAAAGAAAGATTGTGTGTGTTAGAAACCGTACAGGGAAACACTGCAGGCAGTGCACAGTGCAATGGGTCATGGACACAGACACCACCACCACACAATTAGTACTTTGGAAGCAACAGCACCAAGAATAAAACCATTCTGAAAGCAGCAGTCTGGAGAAGATAAAAATAAAATGCTTTTCCAAAAATTGACTAAATTTGCAGTACTTCAATTTTAGCCAAGCTGCATCTGATCACCAATTTGAGTTTTAATGGCTCAGCATCTTTCTTGACAAGCTCTTCATGACAGGTTCAGACTTTAAGCATGTTTCCTCCATACTCAGGGAGGAAATATTCCTTCTTTTCAAAGAGTATTTATAAAGCAGCATTACATCAGGACTCTCAACATTACTATATAAACTTTTCTTGTGAAATATGCATTGTGCAACATTATTATTCTACTTTCCCTCTCTAACCCCTTTAATACTACAAATGTGTGCCCTTTGTTTACATTAACAAATCAAAATAGGTGTTGAAAAAGAAATCAAGAGAAGAAGATTAACTGCTAAACTAAAATACCTTTACCTGAAGTGTCAATCTCTTCACACGTAAGATATTGAAAGAAATTTTATCTCAATACCTTTTCCACTAACATCATCATAGATAGAAAAGCACACATAGATGCAAAAATCTACTTCTGAAACTAGATATTGGATTTTCTGTAATCCAAATAAATTGTGACAGATGCCAGCACTTAATTTTGCAATTTTATGGAAAATACATTTTATTTTTATATTTGCAGCATTTGTGCAAGGAGACCTGCATTCTGTTGGTGCACAGGTTGTGCTAAAGCACAGGTACTTTTCTACTGAAATGAAGAAAGTACCTCTAAGTAAACTTATAAAAATGTATCTTTAATTCAGCAATAGTAAGTCACATGCTAAAAGTAAAAGTGAAAAAGATGGTATTGCCCCACGACATGAACTGAGATATTCATGGCAAAACAAAAGCAGCACATACATAGGTGTGCAAAAATATGACCACTGACTACAAACCAGAAAAGTAAGAACTAATTATTGCACAAGGGGAGCAGTGTAGAAATGTCACCATTACCAACAAGGACCAAGTGAAGTAGTGTAAGATAAAAAACAAAGATGGGATAACATACTTCACAGGAAACAAGCAAAACTGGGAACACAAATTGTAAGGTAAAAGAGGAGAAAGGACTCCACATTGGTTCCAGAGATGCATTTACTGGGGCATTATTACAACCAGTAACAATTCCGAGACCCGTGGGATGCAGCTACAGCTTGTCCACGATGCAGATTCCTATGCTAGTACTAAACTGAGTCCCAGTGTGGGCTTATCAGCTCAGTCTGGATGATATAAAACTGCCTAAGTCGGCCAGGGTTTCTCTCTTCTCCTTCTAGGATGTCTTGACTTCTAAATCAGCCTGAACAAAGCCAGCTCAGGCTCCCTGTACTTATCTTAACATAACCCCCTTGTCGTGTTCCTACATGAGTTTCTCCCCCTAAAGAAATTTAGGTCTTTCAGTTTGAAATTATAGGTTTGAGTTTTTTGCCTTTTAATTTCCTAGTACTGTTCTAACTGGTATATCTTAGATTCATTTGAGAATACAAATGCAGATCTCTATCAGTTAACCCCCCCAAAAAAAACCCCAGAACCAGCATCTGCTTCTCTGCAGAGCAAGTATACTGGCACTGGAGTTTAAAATCCAGTATGATTCCATGGTTTTGTAAAGTAAACATGCAACACAGCATATGAATTGGTTACTACTGACCACAAAAACTACTGGATAAGTAACATTACACATAACCATGTATTAACTGTCTGATTCACACTGAAATGTAGCACAGTTAGCAACTACCATCTAAGTTCTTGCTTGAGGAGCAACTGCACAAAACTTTGAGGCTTTGCTGCCCTCCTGTTACCTGAGGGATCCTGTCCATCAGCCGAGAGGGTAGCAGCACTTTTACTCCTAGCTAGGGAGGCCTGTGTGGGGGCCAGGAGGCGACTGATTACGCTACTGTCCAGAGGACTGAGCTGGGAGCGACGAGCTAAATGACAGGAACAAATGAAAAAGGATCCAACATGAAATCATATCATGGAAAAGACAAGCAGTACAAAGCAAAGGAAGACTGAGCATTGTTGCAAACTGTAACAGTTTTGGAAGAACAGCACTGAAGTCATGGAGAGGGAAATCCAAACCAAGAGCACAGAAGGGTTAAACACTGCAATCTCTTATGTTGCACGTCTCGTTCTTGGCTTGTTTAACAGTAGTAATTTTAATGTGCAGAAACTGGCACATGTACAACAGAAGTGAATGCTGAATTCAGTCAAAGTATGAGAAGTTTTTGACTGAGCTCTTCAGAGCTACATTCTCTGGATTGCAGGAAAGGCTGTTCTGACACAATGAACAGAAGACTTGCAAGTCAAAGCGAGCAGTTATCATCAGGCATCATCTGCACACACAAATCCACATGGACAGCACCCATCTTTCTCCCATACAGGAAAGGTTCTGAATCAGAGTGTAATTTCCACTGTTGGCAACAGCTGCTAAAAAGGAAAGTTTCAGAAATGTTAACTCAAAGGGAAAACATGTTAGAGAAGGTGCTAGTCTTCAGCTTTAGGAAGAGTTCCTAGGGAAGAGGTTAATTGTAATCTAGTGGGGAATACACAGACCAAAAGAGACTGAAGTGAGAACAGGTTTTTTCCTTCATTTGCATGCACAAGGTTTAGGCCAGCAGCAGGAACAGAGAAGTTGCTTTTAAACTGAGGAATGAAAGAGAGCTTAAAAAGCAAAGGTAAGACTGACTAAGAAGTGAACAGATCAGTGATATTTTTACCAATTCAACCTACCAGCTTACAAATAAATAGCTCTCTTAATTGGAGAGACGTGTTATATGCTTGCACTGCCATTTAAAAAAAGCCTCCTTAGAGGATTTTTCTTTTGTCCAAAGGGAAAAATTTACCCTTCAGCAATTACAATTTTATCTTTAACACTGGGTAACCAAAAAGCCATTAAAAAGTTTCACTAGGAAACTAGTGAAAGTAAGCCTCTCCAAACTTTACTATGAATGGCTTTAAAAAACAAAATCAGCTTTATGAAACAACCACCTGGTTTTTCTTCCTTTTTCTGTTTTTCTAGTTCTGCAGAGGATTGGGGTTTACTACTCATCCTACTCAAAGATGTGCTCCTCTTCTTTTCTGTTCCTCCTAGAGACCAAGTGTAAGGAAAATTATTTTTAAAAAGATATATAAATATGTGATTTCCTAAATTGCCATCCCATGCTTTGCTTCTGCCAGTCAGCTAAAAACACCAGCCTATCATTACAAAGCATTATTTTCTCATGAGCTAAATGGTTTGGCTACCATTTGCCTTCACTTCCCCCACCCTTCCACTTTTCAGAGGAACAAGGCTGGTTTACAGAGACAGTTACCCAACACCTGGCACTGCAATGTGCACAACAACATCTATGCCACAGTGCACAGACCACATGGATGCCTGAATGAAACTGAGACGTGGTTTAAAGTCAACTTCAAATATCCCATTTACTGTCTCCCAATTCTCAAAACAAACTGGTTTCTAGCACCTTTCTGTTCCACCTGCGAACCTTTGAGTGCTGACTGCTGGGAATGTAGAGGAACTTTGTTATTCAGTCTGTTTAATGAGGCACTTCTCTTTGTGGTACCTGAAAGTGAAAGTGCATGGATTAATTATGTTGAAAAGCCCAGAGGTCCCCTCCAACACCTGCCCCACTTCCTTAAGCTAGGGAAGAATGATTAAGTCACTTTATAATACCGAATTCTTCAGAAGCAGCAAAACTGGATCAGGGAAGAATCACTTTATATAAAGCATTATTTCTTATATTCCTGTATCTTACTGATCACAGCAGCAGGGTGTCAGTTGCAACAGATTCTTGTTTGACCTATTGAGGCCATCCTTATACACCTTTTGAAATAAATGAGAATTTTAGAAGGCCGGTGTTCACATTCTGTATGAGTGAGCTCAGAATTAACACAGAACACAGCTGATGAAATACTCCACTGATCCAGGGAGAAGCATCTTCCTCTCATTTCTACATTCTTCTCCTCTACCTTCCCAAGCACACACACAACAGAAGCAATCTGGTTAATTCTGCGACTGCATTTTCTGTCCTCTGAATTTACCCATCCCTTTATCAAACAGCCATTTCTCCATAAGCAACAGATCAAGAGCACAGGATTGCTCTAAGTCAACCTTTACATTCTGACCACACAGATCTCTTGGAGTCCTGTTCAAATTTGTTGTATTTCAGGCCACCTAAGAATTTTTCCTCCAAAGTGACTAAGGATTCACAAAGGATTTCAGGGTATGACAATAAGTTTGAAAGCAATCCCAATTAGTTGATAATTAGTAACTTCCTTTGTTAGTAGCTTAATTTGTACTTTACAGACCTGCTTCTGACTCGTACTCAGAACTGAACCCTCCAGACACATCATATATAAATATAATTTAAAATCACAAGCAGCCTCCAGTGACTCAGAGCCTCTGCCAGTACAGATATAGTCACTGATTTCCTATCAGGCACATTGAGTATGAGCACAAGTTTTAATGCTGCATCACCTTCCAACATGAACCAGCAAAAGCACCTTTAGCTGTGTATTTGTGTCAGGAATTCTTCTGGCATAGCTCATTTGATCAAAGGTTGCAGATTAGCAGAACACTGCAGCACAGACCTAGCTGAATCTGTTTCAGCATTAAACAGCTTTTAGCTTTTTCATGTTTTTCATCATTTTGTTAAAAAAAAAAAATCAAAATCAAATCCCCTCACATTTGGAATACAGGCAGGCTCCTATGAAACTCTGGGAAGATTCCCCACAAGGAAATCTCAGGCTAAAACAAGCCGATATGTGCTCATACAAACCATTCTTATTTATCTTAATAAGTAGATTAGGACAATTTCTTGTGTTTCATAATTATTTTTTTCAATTTCCAGCAGGCTGATTGCCCTCTGCCCTATCCCAATACATTCTGTAAATCACAGCAGAGAGGAGACTCACATGCACAGGTTTAGCAGAATGGAAAAACCAGAGAACTCTCTCATTCTCTTTGTCCCTGTTAGGACTATTCCTGTGATGCACATTTTAAACATGACTCGCTGCAGTCGGGAGTCATCCACCCCAAAGATGCAATTTAAAGTGAGATTGGAGGCCACAGAAATTGGTAGATGATCCATCTCTAGAGTGCAAACACTTTCAGGTTAAAAAAAATAAGAAAATAGAAATGGCCTGGAAGCAACTATTCCCTGGTAGTTATTGGCACAGAAAATAACACAGAATGCTTGTAAGCAGTGGTGTGCACTAACAGTTTAAGAAATACATAATTTGAGTATCAGGATCAAGATTACACTAAATTATTGGGCTAGGAAGCTGTGTCAGAGCTGCACACTATGGCTACAATCACGATAGAACTCCAGGCCAAAGCAACACCATCTCCTCCCACCCAAAAAGAACCCCCACAGGTGACAGTATTTTTCATGCATCCTCTTCTATTTGGTTAAAGCAGAATTCTAATACTAAAAAGAAAGTGTGTCTACAGAGTACAAGCACACTAGAACTATGACAAAACTAAGTTGATTTTTTTCCTTTCCACAGGTAATCAAAAAGATTGAAGCTGTCTAACAGAACAAGGCAAACTTTATTTTTGCACTATTTCTAGTTTGCTGAAATTTTAGGGTGGGAATTAAGGCATGCAAACCTGTAAAGATGATGGGAAGTGATTTGTGAATCAGTCATTCACCAAGATTTGACTTTAGTAACACAATTACAGAAATGAAAAAATAAAAAACCAGCAATTTTTACCGTTACTCTTCTCCTCTAAGAGAGATCACATCAACTGGGTCAAAGCCCTCAACAGTCAAGCTGGATTAACAAATTGCATGAAACGCATTTGAGATCAAAATATGAAGTGAGTCACACAGCAAGGGAGGAGGGAGGACATCATTCCACCTCCTGTCTCCTCCCCAACCCAAGCTCAGCAGTACCACACACACACTTACTTCGATCAGAGGCATTTAGAAGCGCTGCAGACGACGACAACCGTTTGCTCACGGCACCTTCTGCCTGTTTGAGGTTGGCTGTGGACGTGGAGCGTTTGCTGCCTGTGGAGAGAAGCGCTGACTTCAGAACTCACCTTCATACCTGAAGGAGAACCTTCCAGGCATTGCCGAGAGCTCACTCTGGAAGCATTGCATCCTGAAAGCCATTTTCACTTCTGCTCAATGAGAAACAGAAATGATTTTGTTTTCCTTTGAACAGACTTGATACCATTAGCACCAGTTGGAACGTGCACAGAAAAGGCAGAGTTTAGTGGAGTCGTGCCAAGATTTTATGCACTTGTATGCAAACAAGGGATTTTTAAACCCTGTGCTCCTAACATGTAAAAACAAAAGCTACTGAGGCTGTGTGTTGTTACTAGACTGGGAAGAAACAGAAAATAGCAATAAAACCTGAAATGCAATTATTTCTTTCTTCATTCTTTCCACATAGGTACGTCAATACAGTTTTTCAATCACTTGTTAATAAACCAAACCAAAACAAATTATTTTGGAGGGATAAAATCAAGTCCTAAGGAAAGGCAAGAAAGCATTCCTATTTCTGATTACTTCCCAAGGGCTTCTGTAAGTATTTTAGAAGTTGCCAATTTTTCTCTAAAAGCTATTCCTAAAAAGTTCATGTTTCCCATCTATTTTGCAACTCTTCTGAAAATGCCCCAAGAAGCATTTTTTTTTTAATGTGTATATATACAGACAAATATACACACATAAATCACATCTCAGATGGCAAAACTGCAAGTTTACTGCAAGTCAGATAAATAACAGCTTTTTAATTTCAAATAATGTGCTTTCAGGATGAACACTATTCCAGAGTGTAAAAGCCCTGGAAAAGCATATACCTGTTGCTATAGAAACTCACTAAGCAGAAAACATTAATGCACATGAAGTAGTGCAGATCAGCTTAACAAACACACAAAACACAAAGAATCGATTTTACTGCCATATTTGACAGCAAAGATGATTAACCTGAACTCATTAGTGCAGAAGTACCAAAGGACAAAGCAGCACTACTCATCACAGAGGCAGCATCTTTTCCCTTTGCCAGCATGCTACAACAGCCCCTTACAGCCAGGGCCAGGACATAAGGATTGCTATGGACAGCCCTGTGGGAAGCTCTTGGGACAGTGAACAAGAGCAAAGTCCACACAGGATAAGAGGGAGAAAGGGAAATCTACTGAATCTAGTTAAGAAATAAAGACCTGAGCTTAGTGGATACTTTCCCAACATAACAAGAAGAAAAAACAGGGGCAGTTCATGAATGAAGCCTGAGAACTGGGATAACTAAACAGCTTGAAGAGGTTTTATATACAAAAATCAGGAAACACATAATTTGTGTATTTGGGTGTTTTGGAAGGTGAAGGCTTCCCCCTAGTGTCTGCTCTTAAAAGGAAATCCTGGCTCCTGATTGAAACTCCAGAGAGTCCAAGGCCTGCAAACATCAGGGACACTTCACACAAATTTCCCTTGGTTCAAATTAGAACTTCAGCACTTGAATGACATCTGAGGTTTGGTCTATCACCTAGTGAGACCCAGAGCACAAAAAACTGAACTCTGACTAAAGAAAAATTATATTGAACAAAGTTAATTCTTTTAAAGCAAGGTTGCAAGTTCTGGAGGCGGGGTGTGCTGTTTTATAAAGAGACATGTTTCTACTAGAGGACTCAAAAGCAAGTACTAGCTAAATATGACTGTTTAGATAAAAAAAAAAATCAGTCTCTGTATTTCAGGGGAACAGAGGGCAGTGGTGAGAGAATGAGTTACTACCTCAATTGATGCCTTGACAGAAAAAAAATCTAATTGGTAAAGGGTGTTCATACAGATATTTGAGTTTTCTTTTTCCAGAAAATCTGAGTTTGCATTAATTGTTTAAGATATTAAGAGGTCAGTGCTTTTTTGATCAATACATCTGCAAAAATACAATCAGACAGCCTCAACTTTTTCCCTACCTCACCCACAGGACAGCTCCTGCAGACTTTAAAGATTGGATGGTTCACTAGAAAAACCTTTAGAACACAGACAGGACATTCTCAAGTCAGTCAGTCTGGTTATGTAGCTATTTACAAAATAACTTTTGAAAAAGTATCTCAAATATTTTTCTTTGGGGAAAGTTAGAAAACTTCCCTCATGGGGTTTGAAATGGAAGACGCAAACAGTACTCAGCCCACGTGATACCAGACTTGTGTGTTTTCCAAATGGAAGGGGGAAAGTAAAGTGCAGCAGCAGAGTCAAGAAAGCGCAGGCTGCCATGCAGGAAGGCTTCAAACTGGGTGAGGAGCTGGTATCTTATGAAAATCACTGTGAGAGTGAGCAGCTTTCAATCCTGGCTTCTCACAGGGTTTCACTGAGAGAGGGAGCTGCAGCATAGCCTATCTGAGCTTGGATAAAATTAGGCTACATAAAATAAGATTAGCTGTCTCTCACTTCCCTCCAAATTTCTACTAGGACAAGGAAGCTCTTTATTTAGAAAGGAGAGGTTCTGGCAGCCTCATTTCTATTCTAATAGCACATCTCCACTCCTGAAGCACCTGAATCTCCAGTTCTCCTCAGCACTCACCACTAAACTGCCTCCTTTACCAGGGCTCTGTCATCAGGGATGCTTTATTACACAGCCTGGCCATTTCTCTTGGCAGACCCACACCCCGCCTGTTTCATCTGAGCACTGACAGCAATGTCATCAATGTAACATTTGACTCTGTGGCTTTCATCAATTTTTAAACCTCAGGCCATCAGTAGGATCCTTGCTGTGGTCTCAATGAATCACACTCTGTACATCCTACAGAATGATGGCTGGAGAAATGTTCAAATGACATGGGATTCACTTTCCAGAGCACACTGTATCACCCAGAAGTTCTGCTCTACCAGTCAATGTTCCTAAATATTACTGTTGATACAGCCAGTTCATGGAAGACACACCTGATTCTCTATTTTTTTTTGGCACAGCAATACAACACACAAGAAAGCCTTTTGTCCAAAAATGAGTATTTGAAATCTGTGTCCCTAATGGTTCTCATTTGAAGAAATGGGCTTTAATCTCAAATCTGCCACAGAAACTGTTGTGGAAAAATACTATTGTACTGAAATTTGCTCTAGACATGCTGCTAAAGACAGTGCACTACTTGGCCCCAATGATGTAATGCAGTAGAGCTTATATGGTGTCATTTTTCAGAGTAAAGCAAAAGGTAATTGTCTTTCCAGCAATTATGTAAATATAAGGTGAAATGAACCAAATAGGGATTTTTTTAGAAAGTCAGCTGGACTTAAGTATCCTACATGGCTTGGGTAGATTTTTCATAATAATTACCTGATGGGCTCTCAGAAAGTTAAAAAGAATTATCCTGAAACAGGAATAAATATGAGAAGTGTAAAACCAACCACGGTTCCACATTATACACCTCATATACGACAATTGTACGCTTGAAACAGTAACACAAAATCAAACACAAATTTAAAACAATGTGGAAGCACAAGGGTTTGACTAAGACACTGCATTATCTGTTTATCTACATAGCAATTTTTTTTCCAAATTGGTGCAAAGTTATCCAAATTGATCTATTGTAGCTGAACAATCTGCTCCTCCTCTTGCTACTTGATGATGCATAAGTTACAGTTTAAGCACCTATTATTATATCAGGAGCATTTGTGTTCGAACATATCTTAAATGTGCTTCAGCAGCACTGAAGATCTTCCTTCACAATAAAAAGGACAGACAAGGCTCATTTCCTCACATCAATTAGGGGAGAGCAAAGAACATTACTTTATGTTTTTTACTAAAGTTTATTTAGGTTTAAAATAAGGAGGGAGTAGTTAAATAAAATGGACATTCTTCTACTGTGTTGCCAGAATAAGCCATAGTAGTTAAATCACACTCAGACTTTCACTGCATTTTGGAGTCTCACTTGTCTGTGTCACAGAACAGCTGCATTGCATTAGTAATGCTGTGGGCATGCACAGATTGTCAGGATTCAGATTCAGCTGGGTCTCAGCTGAGAGTTATCATCATCTCCAACCAGCCACAAGAAATCATTTTGCTTATTAAACATATAGCCTTGACAAATATATCAGTGATTCAAAGCATTTCTATGAATGGCTTAGTCTGTGCACTGGAAAGTGCCAGAAATCCAATGAAAACACATTTAATGCATAGAATTATCTTTAGATAATTGGACAGATCTGATTCTGCAAAACCCTTCATGGAAAAAGTATCAAACTGCACAAAGGATTCATTCCCTTTCAGCAAAATACCATTTGATTTTGCAAATGTTACCTCAATTGCTGGTAAAACAAAACAAAAAGAAAACAAACCAAACCCTACCATGTACTTTTTGCAAATTAGGCAGCAATGAAAGGATTTGAAATTGCCTTTTAAAAACCCAGACTACAGAACTAATTTTTATTCAAATACTTGCCCCTAAGAATTTCTCTTCTCCTACCCACGCTGTATTCAGCCATCTTTAAACCCCCAAATGCTCACATTCTGTCCCTGAAAATTCCCTCAGAATGCTATGTAGTTGAATTAACTGGGAGGGATAGTTAAAACAAGGAGGGCTGCCTTCTACTTAGGGATCACATTTGTTGCACAGCTGGCCAAGATCCAGGAAAAGATCTACAAGAAGCTGGTTTTCCTTAGTTTCAGAGACAGAACAACTCAAGTTTAAAAGGTTAGTAGTAAGTGTAAAACAACAGAAAAAGAACATTTTAGAAATCAATACCACCAGCTCCACCTTCATCTGTGCTCTGTTGCTCTGCAGAAGAAGAAGGTTTGTAAACTAAGTCACCAGGTCAAATAGCAAAAAGTAACAATAATACATCAAAGCACTTTCAAACATGTTATAAACACACACTCAAGCTGACAGAAGATGACAGTATTAAAACAAACTCAGTAGAGTTCCATCAATGCAGAAGATAGGTTGAATTGAAGCATTCTTTTCCTTTATTTTATTCCTTGACAATAACTTAAGTTACTTATTGGCAGGGTCTTCCAGTCAGGTAGTACATGAAAAGATCCCTTCCAATGCAATCCTGATTTGCTAGTTTGGTCTTAGAATGTTTACAGGCAGAAAGTTAGTTGTGTGAAACAGGAAATGATCTGAGCTCAGACTGAAGAGTGCTAAAACACATCACCTGATCTAGAATAGAACCCATGCTCTGAGAAGCTTGGGCAGTGCCCACTGAATCTCCTTACCCATGACTGGGCATTCAAATAATCAGTCAGCATGCTGCAGCTCTAAGGGTGTGTTTAAAACACTTTAGATGTGATATTTCAATACAACTGGGTTTTTAGGTTTGTTTTTATCACCAGTCTTAACACTCCATTACATGTACCTCATTTGAAGGACTCAGAATTATTTTAACATTATGCATTACAATTCCCCTATCTGAGGGTTGGGGGCTGGCAATACAATTCTGCCAGGTCTTGTATTTCCCATGGGGCTTCTCTCTAGCTCTTCTCCAGGTCAAATACAGCTCTAAGCAGCTATACAGTGCACATACAGATATGATTCTTTCCCCATTAGCTACCCGTAGATCCTGCTTTAAGATCCAAGACAGTAAAGGATGCCCAGATCCCTATGAATAGTGCTGCATCTGCCAGTGTTCATATGTAATATTCTTTGATTTTAGTCCTACTAGAAAATGTGCTGCTCACCTGTTTTGCTTTCTGAATCTGGAGTTACAGATCCTCCCCATGACCACCTCTTCTGCCGCGTTTCCAGCCGCTGATTCCGCTCCAAGGTCCGATGCAGAACTGCTTCGTATCTCTCCTATCAAACAACACCTCTGTGAACCTTGTAGCCATAAAGCACACCTACACCAGAGACCAAAATATAGACCCACCTCCTCCTGTATGATTTATAATGTTTTATCTATGCTGCCTGGTTAACAAGCCTTTCATAAGAAACTATCATGTAAAGGATGTTGAGGGCAATTAATGGCTTCAAAACACTGCAAACATGATTAGGTTGAGCTAAAGCACAGATAATCTATTCTACTCTTTACTTAAAATAGCCACCAAACAGATTTCCTATTAGTAAACAGCATTACTTATTTTCTAAATAGGGATGAACCCCAAACTGAACAAAATTAATTGCTTACCCTCTGAACTATTTATATTCTGAAGTTATTTCTAAAGGGTGACAAGAATTCTCATTATAGAATAACAAATAGAGGTTATTTGTATTTTCAGAGAACTATACAAACATTGACCCAAGTCTTAACAGACACTAAGAGATATATGATGAAACCAGAAACAGCAAGACAAAGGCAATATTGCAAAAAAAAAAAAGACCAATCAACTCCAGAATCAACTCAGCAACCCCTGCTGACAGGACAAAGGGGGCTGAAAGAAGTTTTTGCTCCTGTCTTCACAACTAGTAACTGCTAACAGGGGAGCTTCAGCTCTTGTGCATAAAGATGAACTTAAGACTGTTTCTTGCCAGTCAGGTTTCCACATGTGTCAACAAGAGATTTCTCTTCTGAAATAGTTATATCCCAAGAGATCTTTCGAAGCAGTATTTACTGCTGATACACTGCAGTGAGATGCCAAGGGAACTCATTATCCAACCACTTCTCCCTCCTGAAGACACAAGACTTTCACCTTCTTTCTACACCATTTCACTACACAAACTAGAAGAGTCACAGTGAGAAACAGACAATGTAAACTTGGAAGGAAAGAAGGAGGATTCTGCTCGCTGACAAAAGATAAAACTAGAAGTTTTTGTTTGAAATACAAAATTTTGCTTCCCCTCTGTTACAGAAACCTGAACGAGAGTGCCAAAGTAGCCAGACATTATGTAATCTGTATTGTATTTCCAAGGAGGTACCTGCAGCATGGTAGTTCTTTAGAGTCGCAGTTAAAAACAGAGGCTTCACTTTACTAACAGAAACAAATTCAAAGCATCAATACAGTGAGTTGCACAGATGTACAGAATAACTGAGTAGCTGTGACAAGACAGGTATCTCAATCCTAGCCACGGTTAGTGGTCTTCAAGGCTCTTAGGCAGAGAGCCACTTCTTCCACAGTATTTGCTACTGTGCTGCTGCTTCTACTCTACAAAAGATGATTAACTACATGAGACTTGGCTGAATGTAAACAATAATGTTGCAGGCTATGCATTTTTTATATACTCCTATCCACTAAATTTACAATTGTAGATGGTATCTTGCTGGCAAAATTGCCCTAACATAGCTTAGCTTCTTTAAGGGTGATTACTTTCTGCAAAGTAAAGATCTGTTTTCACTTTCTGGTTGAAGGCAAGGTTTACAGGTCAAATTCCCACTGTTTTCCCACCTGCCAGATTCTTCATGCATAAATCTCTATGTAGAAGATCACCTCCAGGGACTTGGTAAAAGACAAGGTCAACAACAATCAAACACTCATCAGCTAGTTCTTGCCTTCCTTGACTATTCACCCAAGTGGCCACTTAAAACATATCCACCATCCTCAGAATTATGTGAATAAATGTAATAAACGTAAAGGTGACACCTCTTGAAGTAGAAGAGATGCTTTTTGCATAAAGTAGTTGCTTAAAGAAATGATGCAGCAGCAGACTACAGTCACGGCCCACCCAAGCATTTCTGTTCTCCAGCAATGTCAACTATTCCATGAAGTTCAAATGGAATATCAATCTGATCACACCCATGGGACAATCACCGAAAACCAAACACCAGTGCAGAATACTGCAAGTCCAAAAGGGTACAGATGGATTGCTAGAACATCGCTGCACTCCAAGGGGGCAGCCAGCCAGGCTTACAGGTTCTTCCTGAGCGACCCACAGCAAGTTCTTACACCCAGCTTATGAAGGCACGGATGTGTGATGCCTCGATTGCTGACACCCTGGAAATGAACCCTCCCAGAACTTGCACCACATTTCATAAGCACTAGCAGAGCTACTCATCAAAAGGATGGAATAGCTTCATGTATTTATTTCTGCTTTCAGCTTCTGTCCATTTGCAATGAGCCCCAAAAATCCAATACTGCTTTGCTGGTCCACGTGCAGTCAGAGCAAAGGCAAAGAGCCCCAGAGACAACAGCAAATGGTAAATACACAGATAACATCAACTGCTCATCATACAGTAATGAGTTCTAATTTAGAAGAACTGAAAGAATGTGAGACTCTCAGGCCACATCAGGGCTCCCAGGAAGCAAGACACAGAAATAAGAGAAGTCTAAGTAAGACCTGTCACCCTCACTGATTAACAAACAGACTACAAAGTGCACTGAAGGAATGTATAAACCTGGGAATACAGGGTGGGGTTTTTGCTTGTGTGAAAAATAACCAGTGGCCAAAGAGCAGCCACAGCTCCTGAAGTCCCAAGTGCTTTGAGTACAGCTAAAGCCGTATGGGGAAGGAGGACCTATGTCTACATAGCCCACTATACTGATGTGGAAAATACCTGCATGTTCTAATACATTCACCATTTCCATAGTTTTCTATTTCCCACCACTTCAGAGCATGATAATGTAGGAAAATAACATAGGAGTTTCTTTAAAAGTATAGAACTTTGATGTGTAGTACCTTTTCCTCCTCTATTTTTTGTTTCCTCTTTTCTTCTACTGCTGCCCTCCGTTGTTCCTCTTTCTGCTTCATTTCTTTTAGCTTTCTCTGCCTTTCTTCTAACTGTTTTTCATACTGGAGTTTTGCTTTTCTCTCCTTTTCAAGGATTTGTGTCTCTTTGGCAGCTGTAAATTTTTAAGAAAAAATTAAAAACAAATTTAACCATTCACTGGTACTGCAATACAAGACAGGCAAAAGACTACTCAGGCAGAATTATTACCACTAAAAATGAAATCATACAGCAAGATGAGCTCTCAGAGCTGGATGGCAATGCACGATGACATTCTGTCCCCAGGTTAGGGTGGAATCACAACCTTGCCTGACACTAGACCTTACTGTCTAGACAGGAATATCAGGACAGGCATATTCCCTATGTTAAGCTATGTTCCCTGTGTTAATACTTTTCTTGTCAACATAATAGTGCAGTCGTAGTAAGAAAGCAGTAAGTTGAGAATCAACAGGCAGCATTTTCTATGTTGCAATTTTCTTTTTCTTTTTTTTTAGAACAAAATATAATGAAAAGATTTAAAGCACTGAGTGACAAGACACAGTTCCTGCATCTGAGTTCAAAACAGTTCTCTCGCTATTCTCTGCAGCCTCCACCAAGGAACAGCTGTGTGCAGTTTAACAGGAAGCTCCAGGTTCTGTGACACAAAGCTGACGGCTGAATGCAAAGTGTATTTTCCATGGCTAGACAGATGAAATGAACCAAGAGACCAGATAATTACACCAACAGTGCACAGGCACTATCTACATACAGAGCCCCCAAAATATTTCTGGATTGATATGTGTCTTAGTCCCACCCTCTCCCCATGTTAGGATAACACAATCACTCCTGTTGTTGTGGGTCTTTATGTTAACAAACAAACATACAGATCTGAGAGACACCACTCCTCCCAAGCTGGGAGCTCAAGGCCCAGGATTGCAGGGCACACTGTGACCCTTTCATCTCTGACTGCACACACATGCACTGATCCTTGTCGCAAACAGCATAAAGCTGGGCAAGACTTTTCTGCTGTTCTCTAGGTCTCAGATTCCCTGCTAAGATAAAGTGTAACTGCTGACACTTCAATCCAGGAGTCATTTCAGCGTGCTGGGAAACAAGGGAAGCAGTGTTCAAGGCAAACAAGCCGTTCAGCTAACTAAATCTTTTTGGTTTTTTCTGAATCAGCATTACCTAAACCTCACTCTTCAGGGCTACAGGAAGCAGTTTTAAGCTAAAAGTTTTATGTTCAAAAGCGGTTTTGTTGAGGATTTCAACCAAGAAATTGGTTAAATTTTCTTGGTGATCACTAGGAAATGGAAGGTCAGAAGTGACACAGAGCTTCAAGAAGCTAAAATTGCAGCATCTTCCTCTCAAATCAAACACTTCTTCATTCAGGTTCACAGATGGTCACCGATGCAAGACCAAAAGTAGACGTTGTTTCTTGTCCCCAGCAAGCTGGAAAAAAGTGACTGAACAAGGAATAAGTTATTCCTTTATCACAAACATTTCAGAAAACTGTATTTGAAATGAAACATGAAAATACCATGTTGCTTTTCCCGCTCTTCTCTACGCTCCCTGGCCAGTCTTTGCCTTTCTTCTGTTCTTAGAGTGGAGCCATCTATCACTGTCAAAACAAAAATTGAAGACACACATTTGTCAGCGATTTTGAACATTCAAATTTAAATAATAAGTCAAAAGTCTTTACTATCAAAAGGAGAATGAAACTACCTGAGAGATGCACGTACCACAAATCATTGCACACTTCATATAGAGATTAAAGTTGTCATCTGAAAAATTCATAGGAAGCTGAACATCCTCCTTTTCCCCACTTTCCATTCTCTCACCACAACCAACCCACTGTTTTTAATAGGTGCAGGAGAAAGTAGACACCATACTGAAGGCTCAACGTGTACAGTCAAAGGAAACACTAAGCAATAGCCAGATATGTGTGAGAACATACCCTTATTCCAAATTCAGCTCTAATCCTCACTCTTCTACATACTAAATTCCATGAACAAGAATTACAGGAACAAATTGTTCACCTGCCACAACCAACTCAGAGCACTGCAGGACAGCTTGTTTGCAGGCTAAGCAGAACCACGACTGCTTAGATCTTTTCAGGTATCAAAACTTGAATTTCAGCAAGAAGTGAACTGGTAGGTTGCCCAGAGCACAAGACAGTAATTTATTTTTGCTGTTATGCTCTGTCTACAAGACAGGCAACTTCAACTGAACTCTGAGCCAGTCAAGAGCAGAAATCTGCCATGAAAACCAGACCTTTAATGAATCTACCAACCATCTACCAGGTGGATCTGGCCTCTGATGCCTCCTGAAGAAAGAGCACCAAACTCCTTTTTAAAATATGTTTTCTTCGTTCCCTACAAACTCTCCCTTGTGAACCCAGCATTTCATTAAGAACAATGACCAATAATTGTACCTGGTTTAGTTGCTGTCTTTATTGAGGTCTGGACTGCAAGAGGGCTAATGCCACTTTGGCTTCTTCTTTCTTCTGCTATGGCTTGGGCTGCAGCAACTGTGAGAAAGAATCATTCCATATTAAGAAAAGCTCCACAACTGAAACTCAATAAGTAAATATCTAAAATACATAAAATTCCATTCGAGGTTGCTGATCATTTTATTAAATAACTAACTGGGGGCTGCTTAACTTGTAAGGAAAAACTTGTCAAGTGAGACCTCGGACTTGGCACAGCTTTTCTTTTTAAAAACCACAGTTACAAAACCTATGTTTTAAAATGTGCAGCCAAGGACTATAGTTTCAAAAAGATCAAACTTATTATATGACTCCTCTAAGACAAACCCAAGTATTTAGCACAGTTACAAGTCTGATTTTCACTTAATAATTAAAACTCTTTTCTACCACATGTGTATTTGTGGGCTGGACATACTTATGTAATAGTCCATTAGCACTGGTAGAATCATATTCTGATGAGACCTGAGCAGGGAAAGGTTTATAAAGACCTGTCATTACTTGATCACATGAAACAGAAAGTGGATAAGCTGCATTAAGTGAACCATTAAGGGATGCTTACACTGTACTTCTAAAACTGAATCTTCAAAAATAAATTTTAATTGTAAATTAGACTCCAAAAGAGTAATTTGAGCATTTCTGCAGGGACCCATTCACCTTATTCAGGTTTCACCACGCTGAGCACAGTGGCTACAACTCGCAGTTAGTAAGGAAAAATTACCAATATTAATGTTGCTAAAATAATGAAACCCATTAAGAAGTCATATATTTACTGTATCACTTTCCACAGATTTTCCTTACTTTAGTATCAACTTTCACTTTCACTAAGCACCTTGCAGGGTGTGAAGGTGAAGTGGTACAGGGAAAGCAGGCAGGGCAACCTGTAAGACAGCATTACCCCATTTCCCTGCACAGCTCAACCAGGAATGTTCTCACACAGTGACACCTTGCTCTCACCTTGGCTGACAGACACAGGGAGCTCAACTTTGCTCCTAAGAGGAGCCCAACTTCAGGGGACGCAAGAGAACACATCACACAACCAACCAACCAGAAAAAGTCAAGGCCTGTTTTACTCAGAAAAGGCAATTCACAAAAGGAACGTGTACCTCCTGTGATCTCAACTAGAACGTGAAGGACCAACAGCAGAATTTAGCATTATAGCTTAAAGAACAAGACAACAGCTTTGCCAATGATCTCAGACTTCCCTTTAATATGAGTAGTGCAGAATGCAAAGGAGGAAGGAAGAGTCTCCCTCTTCTCCATGCATTGCCATGACAACTGGTCGTGTCATGGTAGTAACCCTCCCTAAGGCTGTGCCCAAGAACAATCACCTCAAAGTGCTTAATCCCATGTGATGTCAGTGATAAATGCTGATTACAATACTTATTCAGCAACTCTAACTTGTCACCCGCAGCTGTTGCCATGTCTTGAATTAATTTTTCACTGCAGCAGCAAACAAAAGTCTCCCTCAGTTCCATCCTATACATCTCTGAGGTTTTTTTCAAACAACTCAGAGATCAGATATATCATAACATGGTGAGATTACCCACAGGCAAAGAGAACAGGTAAAGAAGGGATTCACTGTAATTTCACCATCTAGATTAAAAATCAGGCAAAAATCTGATTTTTGTACACTGTTGCATGCCATGTGGATGGGAATCTAGCCCAAAAAACACCAGGTGGAGAACAACAAAATTATCTATTCTAACACAATTAGAAGTGAAAACAGCCAGAGGAAAAGGAGCCAACTGCAGGTGTGCTGAGAGCAGAAACCCACAGCCAGGGCATTAATACCCAATGGCACCTTCGTACATCACAAAGGCTGAAGGAGCATGAGCTTCCTCAAATACCATTTAGATTTCAGATAAATACAGAAATCCAGGTACATCTTCCCTTCAGTCTCCATCAGCAAGGGAGGAAACAGGAGGTGCCCAGGCAGCCTGAGCCAACTCAGTCCAGCTGGGAAAAGAGCCCAACAGAAGAAACTCACTCCTCTCCTACACCAGCTTTAGTTAAGACCAACACCAGAATTTTGCCTCAATTCTCACAGTTTAAAACATCTGAACTTCTGTAACAAAGTTATAGTAAGAAACAAGCTGCAATTAAACAGGTACAATATTCATCTTATTTTATTTGCAGAAATATTTTACTATTAGAAATCTTGCTGAACGAACTAGTCATAATGGATGTGGGAGACTGTTTCTTTTTAAATGAATAAATAAATACATAAACAGTTGAATAATGTTCATGATTAGAAGGCATTCATTTAAAAAGGTATCCTATCTGCAAAGCAATTAGTTCATCTTAATTAATTAAGGCTGCAAAAGATTATTTGAGGTTCTACAGAACAGGAAAGTGGGTTACAGAAAGAGTTCAGCTTGCAAAGGACACAGAGGTGAAAAAAGTCTAGAAATAGCCAAAGGATTTTGTATGTCAGGGGTTTTGTATGTCAGTTAGAATATTTTGGGTTCACTGCTTCAGTGCTTCATTACTTGCATAGAGACAGTGTCCTTACAAATTTGAAAGCAGCAGATTTAAGGCACCACGAGTGCACCTTCGTGTCATACAGATGTGATCCATTTAACCAAGAGAAATCCAGAATGAAATGTGAACTGGGGATTGGAACAAAAGATCATTAAAAGGGAAACAGCCATCACATTAGATACATCCCTGAGATGTGCAAGCTCAATTTCACCACATCTCTGGTCAACAGACAGGTTTTATGTTCCTTGTAAATTTTATGGTAAATTTGCAATATCAAACTGATTTTCAAAATCCCCTTTTTACTACTTACTGTAGGAGAAAATGAGCTGCATGTTGTTGCACTCTGCAACCTTTAAAAAATACAAATTTATTTTGCTTTAATATGATAAAAGACATCTAAATTATTATTAAATTTAAATGTTTGTTGGCACAGATACCTATAATGTCTTTGCCTATTTTTCCATAATGAATGTAGCAGTCTGCTCTGGAGCAAAGCTTCATGAAAAAGAATTTTCCACAAAACCTAGCTCTGTAAAATAAGCCTAATACTTCTGTAATGAATCAGGATACCCCAGAACAACCATTTCACTGGAACTTGTGTCACATGCTACATTATGGGGGGTGCCTTCATGGACATATTCAGCCAAACTTCCTGGAGAAGAAAAATTCTCTTACAGGCAAATTAAATCTCATTTCTATTCTGAGCTTCCCCTCCCACAGTAGTCACTAAAGGCTTTCACAACTATAATTTGTGATCAGCATAATGTGTATGTTTATTTTACAGCAGTCTACCTTTAAATGGTCCAGGTAAAATTAATAAAAGTATAAGCCACGCATGTTGCCAATAATAGTAATATCTGTATTCAGGCATAATAAAGCAGGGCTACTTGGAATATGAAATGGTTAGGGGATTTGGGACGCAGTTTTCCTTCAGCGCCCTCATCACCGTTTAGCACCACGTGTCTGGCCAAGGGAATCACAGATAAACCAAACCCACAGAAGCACCAGGAACCAGCCCCTGCAGAGGGCAACATGCCAGATAAATCCAAGTCTCTGAGTTGCACCTCCAGCTCAGGATCACACAGTCTGTGCAGGTGCTGTGGTGCCTCCCTCGCACTGAGCACGACAGTACTTCCTTCGCTGATCAGGTTTTCAATGTGCCCTGAGAAGACCAGCGCTAAAAATAAACCTTGATTTCTATTTCAACCCTTGCACACAGCTAATACCCTTGGCCCCTGCCAAGACTGGCAAAGGACCCGCTGCTGTTCTTAGTAAACCTCATTAGGGACTGCAGGGGCTCCGTCCCTTTGCCCAGCCAGGTTTGGGGATTCTATCCCATCCCTTCTCCTGGTATCCCTGACCCAGCCGGACACTGCCCCACTCGCTTTCCCTTCCCCTGCAGAACCAGAAAGGAGAGCAGAATATAACAACTTTCACAGCAATCCTTCTGCTTCTTATGATTTAGTGACTCATTATGCAAAGCAAACAAACAAAAAGAATCCCAAACTAAGCCTCTGAAACAGGAGGTGTTAGAAGGTCTCCTGAATGGAAGGCATTGTTAGGAATCTAAATTTTCCACAAAAGTTGAAAGCAGGTAACAAGAAGCCAATAATCAATCCATGAACCAAAAGTGAACGTCCCAGTAAAATATCTCTAATTTTATAGCAAACTGTGCCAACTCTGCAAGAAGCCATTTTTGTCTTGCTCCTCTACAGGGAACTATTGTTTGTCAGCAAGCATTCTGATCCTTTTTCTTTTAATAACATTTGCACATGCTTCCAGGAGAGACAAGGGAAGTCAGCATTTAAGTTTGAGATTTCTGCACACTGCCATTTAAGCTGATTTCCACTCATTAATTAATACAGGTTAAGATAAAATGGATGCAAGACCATACACTTGATGCTTTAAGAAAAACTGGGTATTGGTTTTACACCATTACCTCACACAAACAGGAGGGCAACACAGAAAGCTGAACTATGAAAAGAAAGCCCTCTCTGCATGCATTCCTCTTTCCCTGCTTTGCCCCTTCTTTTTGCCTTTCCCTGCTGATCCTCACATCCCATCTTTGGGCTGCAAGGACTGACAGGCTCCACAACCAAACACGTGAGCCTCCCGTAGGCACCTTCTGATGGACCAGCTGGAAGGCAGATGGTTCTGCTGTTTTGTCTGGGCAGTCACCAGATGGGAAGCACACAGATCTCCAGAAAGCAGTGCATGCTGTCTCTCAGCTTCAGCAGGTCAGAAGAGCTTCCTGTTGTCTTATCCCAGACTCTGTTTGCACCTTGGTTCTACATTTATTCCCTACGTGGGATACCTATTTTATTACCTTTCTGTGTTTTCCTCCCTTAAAGACCATTTCTGCAGGCAATTCTGTTAAACAATCTGGTTTTCCTCCCAGTCAATGCTTAAGGAAGTTTAGGATGATTTCTTCAGTTCGTCACAAGTACTGAGCCCACTGGAAAATGAAAACTCTTAACACAAACATTCCTTAGCAGTATATGAAATTAGCACTTCCACAAATAAGTATTTGAGAATATATTTCAAGAATGTAAGTTTTTATT